GAGCGTGCCTAAGTCTCCTGCCGCAGCCCGTTCCCGGCCAGGCAAGGAGACAGCCCACGTAGACCCAAAGGCTCTTTTAAGAGCCACTWCATGCACATCAAAAAGAGCTGTAGCACTGCTTTCGATGTCTCTTGAAATTCACCTGAGTTGMTTTATAAAATAGCAAGAAGTAACAGGTGCTTTATGAAAACCAGATGAAGGTAAAGTGACACAAATGGGAGAAATGTGAGTTCAATATATTAACAAGTATTGACCAGAAAGCATCAKATAGTATCAAGCTTTCAACCTTTTAGGGATCCTTTTTGGCTTGAATTCTTATATTGAGTCAAGATCAGTCTAACGAGAGTGAGATTTTACAAACTAGAAGTTTAAAATGAGACCTCAGATTCATAATTCAGTCATAAGTAGTTGTTTCTCCAGTTATTCTTAGGACCATCTCCATTTYTTCTCTCCATCTGTGAAAATTGAATCTGTTATCTGGTGGGCAACAATATTGAAGGCTGGAGACCACTCGAGGGCTGCTTTTGAGTGGCCATCTCTTGTCATTAGAGGCATCTGGGCTCTGTTTGCTTACTCAGGGATGCTGCGCTACACACCCAGTCTGTCAGAGGCAGCCCGTGGGTGGATGGAAAAGTGGAGACATATTGAGTGTACCAGAGGGATAAAGATTTGCTTGGGGTTCTGCATTTTTGTATCTCTTTTTTTCCTCATTTCTTTTTTCTTCACAAATAAAGCCCCCTGAGTGAATTTATTGATTTTTCATGTCTTAATTTTAGAACCGGGGTTGAATGGAAGGGGAATTGTATACTGTAGCATGACAAAGACTTCTTGTCTTGATTAGACAACACAATGTTATAAGAAGCTTTTAACTACCAGCCTTCACAGGGAGTGAATGAAACCTTTCAGGAGGCCATAAAAGTTCCATGTTCTCTTCAATGTCAGAGAAAAACGTAAAAAAACCCAATAATCTATATCTGCCTTCCTCCCTTCTGCTTCAGTTGTTGTAGAGTATATTTGGCTCTAATGAGGAAAACAAATAAATAAACAAGCCCAGTATTATTTCTAACAMGTACCACCATGTCAATACTATCCAGTCCTTTCTAGAAATTTTACTAGATAGCACTGAAACACGACCTGATAATGCAGACAAGATATTAACTGCTTACAAGTGACAATGAATCATTTCCTCATTTACTTTTGAGAGCAAATTCCAGTCTGGTATGAGTGAAGGCTCTTTACAGAGCCTGGGTGTGCGCTACAAACCGGCACCAGTGACCCTGCATATTTATTAACAATTGTAACACTTCTAAGGTTTTAGCCTTTTAACACTTGCTAACCTCCAAGTTGGGCCTAGTTGCAAAGTTTAAATAGGCAATAAATTGGTAACATGAAGCAACAAGTAGCATTACGGTGGAGCCTACCGAATTCCTAGAGAGTAAGCAGACATATAGTTGATTTTAATATCATAATAATATAATTCCTTTAAAATTGCACATTTAAGCACAGTGCCCAATACTCTTCCAATAGGAGCACTGCCACTGTATAAATTCTCACCCCTAACTCTGCAAGTGGTGATGCACAAATGGAAGAATAGAAGAGAATAGAACCATTTCAACTAAAAGATACTTACATTGATCATCTAATCCAACAGTGAAGCAGTTTCTATTATTTAATACAACATAAAATACTATTGGAACTGCAGAAAAACAAAGCCAGATTGTACTGAGACAGAGTGCCATGAGAAAGAGACAGAGATGGATGAATCTGAGAATTAAATTTTGWGAGTGGAAAAAGAGCATATGAAGGTGTGTATACAGGTATGCAACATATATATATGTGTATCTATACACTTTCAAACCTACACAACAATGCTATGAGTATTTCTTGTGTATACCTTGTTTACCTCCTGTGTATTTTTTCTGAAAGTCACCACATGAAACTTCTTACATTACTCCCCAGATGCTGTACTTAAATACTTGAATTTTAATTTCAGAGCAATGGCTGGTGACATTTGCAGAAGTGTATTGGATAGGCTGGAGTCCATTATTAAGCACAGAGGAAAAGATGCTTTCACAGCAAAGAAGCAAAATCAATAGGGATCTGAGTGTTTTATTTGTGAATTTATAAAAAACCTCCCATCTCTAAAATACTAAAAGTGGCAGTCTCTAAGACCTGACACAACCAAAAATTGAACTAAAGGGCAACTGTAATTTCCTGATTTCAAAATTTTATTCAATCAAATTATTCTGCTAAGTGTTCACCTTAGATCCCTCCATGCATTTTCCTCTACTCACTCAGTTTTCTTAACATCCAACACAAAACCCTTGTTTTAATTCTCAAAACTGTACAAGMCAATTTGCTACAGGCCTCCCATTGGCTAAATCTGGCAAGCCTTCACAGACACCTCCTCTTCCTCAGCTGATGTGATCCCAAACAAGTCACAAAACTTTCTGTGCCAGTGCTTTCCAAGTACTGGGAAAATAGAATAGGGKTGACTTGTCGATAACAACCACCAGATTCTCTTCGCCTTTTCCAAGTTCACAATGCTCATCTTCTCTAGCCTGTCTGCAAAGTTATAATGCAAAAACAAAAAACMAAAAAAAACCCRACACCCAAATTTATTTAATTTCTCAATTTCCATTTCTTTCCTCAAACTTGTAATCTTAGCACTTTTGGTTTGCTAGTGTGATAGAGGTAGGGCTGAGATACCCAGTTACAATTTCAAGAGTACATCAGAGTAAAAGAAATGACAGAGTATAATAGTTAGAAAAAAACTACTTGAAATTTGAAGCTTATATTCCAGAAGTAACTCAGGTTATATTTTCTACAAGCTTTTAAAATAAAACCCTGGATTACTCCATAAAAAAATATTGCAAACAGTGTTTTACAGGAAGTATCAAGTTCAGGGAGGGGGGTGTTGTGGGTGGAGGGAAAGAGAGGAAGAGAAAAGTAAGTGTGGTCTCTCCTGGTCCAGTATATTTCATTTGCCGCATCTGAACACTCATTTGTATTGTGCAGTTTATTCTGCACATAGTTGAATGGGCATTCCCAAGACCACACCAAAACAGGACCTGAAATTGCCTAGAATAATCAGTTTAAAGTGAATGCTTGAAATTATCGTGCTTACACTAGAATTATAATGACCTTGAARAATTTAAGAATTATTATCTTGTAATCAAAGTATAACAAAACCAGTGTATCAACTCTTTTGTGCAATGTAGTGGCTCTTAAAAGAGCCTTTAGGGTGCGGGAAAATTTCAGGAGTGGACGTRTGGCAGGAGGCTCAGGCGCGCTCTCCGCGGATACGGCGSGCCAGCTGGATGTCCTTGGGCATGATGGTGACGCGCTTGGCGTGGATGGCACACAGGTTGGTGTCCTCGAACAGCCCCACCAGGTAAGCCTCGCTGGCCTCCTGCAGCGCCATGACGGCCGAGCTCTGGAAGCGCAGGTCGGTCTTGAAGTCCTGCGCGATCTCGCGCACCAGCCGCTGGAAGGGCAGCTTGCGGATCAGCAGCTCCGTGGACTTCTGGTAGCGCCGGATCTCGCGCAGCGCCACCGTGCCGGGCCGGTAGCGATGCGGCTTCTTGACGCCGCCCGTGGCCGGCGCGCTCTTGCGGGCCGCCTTGGTGGCCAGCTGCTTGCGGGGCGCCTTGCCGCCCGTCGACTTACGCGCCGTCTGCTTCGTGCGCGCCATCGCTCAGAACAGACACAACGAACACTCGCAACCGAAGTGAAGAAATGCTRACCCGCGGYTGCGGCGGCGGCTTTTATAGACCGCTCGCTCACTCTGATTGGCTGTCAGGAATGCGCTGTTTCTATTGGCTACTTTCAAATTCGAAAAGCCGAGAAAGCGCGCGCGTTCACCAACGGCCGCCGGTTCTCAGTTGTACCCCCCACCCCGTCTCGCCCCTGACACTTTTGTTTTCGGGTTGTTCTACCTCCAAAATGACACGTTTGGGGAAAAGTATTCAAACAGTAAATGAGTAAATGCATGTTTTGCTGAGCTGAATGCATTGAAAATCCTTGTTTGTTTTTTTTTTTTAAGTTAATTTCTATTTTTTTTTCTCAATAGGAATCACATACGGTATTTTGAGGCTTGGATTTTTGTTACTATTATGTGTGTGTCATGAGGGTTCTTTAGAGGARGGGGTTGAGTTCCACTTAGTATAACTTTCATCTGGTAGGGTAAATGTTTGGGGTCAAAATAGATTGCAAATGGGTGTTTTCTAATGTAAGGAATAGCACTTCAAAATACTGAATGTTTCAGCATACAAAGTATTCTTAGGCTGTTCCTGAAATACAGCAAGGCACAAGGTGAATTTTCGATTTTTCTCACTGGATAGCTCTGCCATATTTTCCTATTCGGGTGAGTTGACATTTGAGCACGAGTAAAGATATGGAGAGCCGCTGATGCATCCAAACATATAAGAAAGAGTATTCCTAACCTTTAACACAGTGTATGTACAAAGAATAATGGATTATTTCCTACGCACAACACTCAGAGGACAAAGAGACCATTTATTAACAACACCCAAGTTTTATGAAAAAAATTCGGGAGCTACCAGCTGCGCTCTCACACACTATTACAATRGACATTAGCATTTAAATAAAAAAAGTTTATCTACCTCTGCTAACTGAATTAGGGGKAGCCCCACCCCCACAATGAGAAGCACGGAGGGGAAGGCATCTAAGSCCTCAGCAACAGGGTCACTTTAGGTTATTTTGTTGCTGATTTACCGTCCTCAGGTAACAATAGTCTAAAACTTGGAACATTTAAAAATCAGCAGCATTGTTTTATCATTTTGGCTAGGATGCATTTCAGCGTATTATCAGCACATCTACCAAGGGGCCAGCAACTTTCTACAGGTTTAAGTATCACTGGAAAACTGAAACACGATGTTGATAAATATGAATTGAAAACGTTACACTTAGAACAGCTTTAAAGCAACACAGCTCCTTTTGAGTTTAAGTGTGCGGCTCTTAAAAGAGCCTTTGAATTTCTCAGAGAGGCCTGAATGGAGCAGACATGCTTTAGCCGCCGAAGCCGTAGAGAGTACGACCCTGGCGCTTGAGAGCGTAGACCACGTCCATGGCCGTGACAGTCTTCCTCTTGGCGTGCTCGGTGTAGGTGACGGCGTCGCGAATCACATTCTCCAGGAACACCTTGAGCACACCGCGCGTCTCCTCGTAGATGAGCCCYGAGATGCGCTTGACGCCGCCGCGCCGAGCCAGGCGGCGGATGGCCGGCTTGGTGATGCCCTGGATGTTGTCGCGCAGCACCTTGCGGTGGCGCTTGGCGCCTCCTTTGCCGAGCCCCTTGCCGCCCTTGCCCCGACCAGACATGATGAAACAACAAGCACCCCTTTACTTGAACTGAGCGGCGACACAGCCGTCGCCGCGGATTTTATTCGGTGTGAGCCGACCTGGTTGAGGACTGCAGAGCAAAGGGGCGGGGTTCCCCGCCAGTTTTTCCTGCTTGCGTCAGCAGTGATGAAATGTCGTTTGCTGTCACCTATTAAGGCAATGTGAAGTCTGGAAAGTAAACCCAAGAATAAACCTCCACGAAAAAAAAATCCAACTACGTACCTGTCCATACAATGGCAAAGCTTTTTTCCCTTCTCTTTAGATAGGTATAAAACATTTGCATTTGTGTTTTATTTTTTTTTTTTTTGCATTGGCCTGGGTTGCTTTAAATAACTTCACTTTTACCTTATTTTTATCCTGTTGTTCATTAATACTTCTGATTCATTTGTGTTCAAAGTCCTATAAACTTTTGTTCCGAATTTTAAAAGAGTTGAGATCTCTTAACAGTTTCATGGAATTTCCCACAATATTTAATTATATTGCTTTCTTTATTTGATTTCCACCTCCAACTTTTTAAGTACTCCAATTTTACATGAGAAACATTTTGTCTGTAAATACTTATTAAGCAGAAAGTGGAACAGAATCTTTTTTTTTAATATTATTAGACTTCTATCAGTTTGTGACTTGAGCTAATTTTGCTCATTTTGAGTTACTGCACTGGGRCAAYTTTTGTGGTTTTAATTTTTTACAARAAGACCTTTGCTRTAACTSTACACTTAAATTTSTGCTACCTAATTAGTAAAAAAAAATCATYCTTCTATTTACTAGAGATTAGGCTTTTCAATCTTTATCACTCCCTTTTTTCTTGTTTTTTCATGTATTCAGATTGATACTCGAAAAAAAAAGATATTCTGAATGATCTTTTATGAAAGCCAGGAGCTATCTTTGTCTTTGAATGCTCCAAATATCATAGTATAAGAACATTCTGAGCTGGAATAACTGATAGACTAATAACTAATGAAGGTTATTTATTTTCTCATGTCCTTTTATGTATGAAATACAGGCATAAATTTCTATGTACTCTTTTAAAGTGCTCCATGTTAGAACATACAATAAGTAGCTTCTCTCTATTCTGTGCTTAAACTTGGAATAAGCATCTTCCCTCTGTCTATTGAATAATGACGGAATTACAATTTCATTCTATCACAAAAACAAAGAAGTGTTTTGCTTTCAATGGACATATTAAAAGTGTAAAAGAGGAGCTCATTATTCTGATGTCACAAATWTTTTTTCTAATGCTGTSTCCAGATRTTTTCATGGCAAATGAAATCTATGGCTTTTGTGGTGTGTTTTGTTTGTTTTGTTGGGTGGGTGGACTCTTTGGGATGAAGGCAATAAATTAAATTTTAAAATTATCTTCTCCCTATCTATTCTGCAGCACTTCAGAAAAGGTGTATATTATTGGAATGATCCTTGCTTTTCACCTCTTCCAAAATGAAGCAACCCCCATTGCACTCTTCTGAACAGTTACTATTGTTCATCCAGCAGTAGTATTCACAGCTTTCGCCAAGATTGTAGAAACTGCAACTTCCTGCTGCATTGGTGCAGAAGAATGCATGGACATAATGTGGAGTCTTCTTAGGTTTTGGACAGTCCTAGACACATCATCTTTCTCTTCCTGGGAGAATGAACATGTTAGYTGAACATGATTCTGAGTCTTAAAAAGTGTGTAATGCTGTCTCCAGTTCTTGTTTATAAGGGACAGGTCACAAAACAATAAACAAACTCAATCCTCTTCTGCTGTAACTAGCCTAAAGAAGGATTSTGGAGAAGGGGTTTGTTTATTTATTGGCTTGCTTGGGTTTTAGTTGGCTGATGGTTTTTTTTGGTTTTTTTTTTTTTTTAATTTTGGCATACTTCCTTTAGTAGTGGCACACTAGAAGCAGAACACCAAATTTCTATATCCCTGACTTCCTGCTTTCCAATCCATACTTAACACTGGCAGTCCTCAATCAACAGCACTTCCATTTCTGTTCATACAGAACATGTCTAGTCTAAGCAGATTCGCAACAAGATGTAATCACGACATTAAATTTTTCAAAATAAAGGCAAATTTAGGTTTCTAGTGTACCGAGAACACTTGCTGTCTATTCCCATAGTTTTTTTGCACTCATCTTTTGTTTTCCATTWGTAAGTTTTCAAATGCTGTGCTTGTATTCTGGTTTTGCATCCCTTAGCTAATGAAAGAGATGTTTTTTATTACCTGTCTAAAGTCTAGCACAATATAACAGATCCCTTGTAGGGTATTGTGTCTGTATCCATAACCTCAGGGCGAGTAATTAGAATAACCAATTATTCATTTAATCCTGACTTTAAAAAATAATTCATTATATGCTACTAGGACTCCAGGGTTTGAATTTAGATCAAAGATTAGGCAAAAAAAATATTGTCAGACATTATATTTGAAGACTACATATCAATAAAATTCTGGAAATATATTTGTATTTTCAAATGAACAGTTTTGAATTTTATATAAATATTGGATAGGTTTTCATATTCCTTTTTCCCCACCAACTGGCAGCTGGTCCTTCCTTCCCTTTTCAAAATATCCCCTTTCACTCTCAAAGGAAGAATGGAACTGCAATATGTCCTCTGTGGATGAGACAGGTTGTACAGATCCCTGCTTTGCACTGTTGTCATGTTCCTGTGATCTGCCACGCTGAAAACATAAGTCTCATCTGGGCCATCTGGAGGAAAGAAATAAATTCTTCCCTTGCACTGAAAACCTGGACACTTTTGATGGACTGGCAAATCCCCACAACAGAGGACAGCTCAGAGGAGAAGGGAAAAAACACAATGAGCCGAAGAGACAATGTGAAGAAAACTTCACTCATTTGAACACCAGGGAGACGGAAGGGTTACCATGGTTTTAGACAAGAGAGCTGTACCAGTGAATCATCAGTTTSCCTCAGATGATCAACAAACACGAATGTCTTTCTGTGCAAGACCAGATGAAAAKGACGGGTAGGGAGGATGGACCTGCGACTTCAGCCCAATATAACTTGTAAAACCTGGACAACAAATAGAAAAGTTTGAAGACAGTAATGGGCTTGAGATGATTTCAACCAATGTAATCCTTCACAAGGAGTGGGGAATCCAGCATCGATTTTGACCATTTAAAGAGCAGAAATGAGAATTAGGTTTCTACTGTGATTCATATGTATATTGCAAATGCTTTATTATGTTTGGTGCAATTTTAGTGCAGTATCCTTCTGCTAATTAAAAATACAATGCAACATTGAATGTGCTCAATAAGGAAATTTTGAATTTAACTTTAAACTCTCCTCATGTAATAGCTGAAATAACCTAGATGGAGAGTATTCAACCCCTCCAGCATGGAGATGYGATCAGCTGGGACTTGCCTCTACACAAGGCTGTAAACTGGACAAGATCTGACTTCTTTGGCAGTCCTTAAGATACTAATGTACTCCAGTGATCTTTGTTCTTTGTATCCCAGTGCCCACATACCCCACCTTCAGTTCAGCACATAAGCCGTGCTAGAAAGCCATGCCTGCTAAAATAGAGCAGCCCATATCATTTTGGTAAGAGAATTTTAAGCACAGAAAGCTTTTTTTTTTTTTTTTGAGAGTGAGGCAGAAAAGTCAGTATTTGCATACATGGATTTACCATTTGGAAGAAATCTTCTGGTGGTAGCAGAAATGTTTTATGCAGTCTAAGCAAAAGTAGCAAACATGAATTTAGTTTAATGACTAGCACACTGAAAACTAATTTAATGCCTTCCCCACCTTTCCCTGCCAATTCAGTCAGTCAGAGGTGGAGAGACCCATTCTCATCTTTTTATTTAACCACTCCAGCTGGTCAGAGATAAAAGAGGTTGGGCTGTAGCCCTRGTTTGGACTGTTCCCAACTTCCTTCTGTCAAATTCAGAAACTACACAGGGACTCATAAATCAAGAAAAGACCTCTCTCATGGCCCAGCAGCTTGGATTGACCTTTGAGGATGCAGTTTGCCATTCACAGAGCGTGACTTACAGATCTGATGAACCATAGAGAGACAAAACCTGCCAAAAATTGTGTCGTGGGCATGTTGTCTGAGTCACTGCTGTGAAGAAGGATTGTATGGACCTCACCCCCACCACTCCATGCACAAGCTGCAGTCTTGCAGGCTCACTGAGCAGCTGGTATAGCTGAATAAGTCCATGAAAAAAGGCTGGAGAAACTTCTAGATCAGGGTTGGAGTGTTGGGAAGTTCAATGAAATATCCAGTTCTTAATATGAAGCTTTACCAGGATATGGGAGGGAAGGGACAGCATAAGTGGGGGCAAGAGCAACCACATTGAGCAAATTCCAGCCACAGCCACAGCATTCCTGGGCTTCTGTCAGGAGGAGACCAAAGATKCTCCCTAACAAATGCTCCAGGGTGACCTGTGGAGCTCTGAGCTCTGTAGCACACCATGGAATCCTGCTCCTGCATTCAGGGAGACAGACARCAAACAGCAAACCAGCTGCTCAACAACCCAGCTGACACGGGTGCTCAGGAGCTTTGCTTCTCTCAAATCCTTACAATTCTTTCTCAACTGGAATTTGAGGCAGCACAGGTCTCATGATGYACTGCCCCTTGATTAAGCTAGAAAGATGAATCCAGAAAGCATTGTAAGCACCATACTTTTTGCACAGCTGATACTGAGCAGCTCCTCTCATTGCCTGGGCTCATGCASAGGTGGTCTGGGCAGTAAGTTTTTCAGCTGTACTCTGCCAAGCCATAAAGAGCTGTAGGTACTTAAAGGAAGCTGAAGTGCTGCCTTGTCCAAATGGTCACTCTGGGGCATAGTTTTCCAAGCAGCAAAATTAATGAAGCTATCACCTCTGTAGGAATATTTTCTTGGATTATATGTTTCTGGAGGAAGCCAGCTCTGCAAAATGGTGATGTGCCTTGTGTTAGTGTCTCCAGACWCTACTGCTGAGCTTTGTTTTTGTTGCAGTAATAGTTAGTTGGAAAACCAAAAGAGTCCAGTTRGAAACCCCAGCCACT